TCCCGTGTTACGTCAAGGAATAGCCTCGAGATGTGACAAGTATGATGTTGTAGTACCCTCGTCAAGTTGTGAATGTCTTAAGTCGAAGGACACACACGAGACTCATAGAAACATGGCAAATAGGACTACTTATTTAATGTCTAGCGTTTTTTTCAGGAGATTAGGTAGTGGACTCTGGTGCTTCCCACCATATAGATGATCTTCTAAGTGACATTAGTTCTTATCTCAATTTCAAACCCTCCATTGATGGAGGTTTTAGCTCATAACTCATTTTCTAGCATATATACTCCAGCTAGCTGTTAGCATCAATTAATTTTAGATTGATGATTAGCACGAAATCTAATTAATTTAATCAAACATAGAATAACAACGGTGACAAATCAAATTACCTTTTTTTTCTTTGTTTTTTCCATATCCTAAGAAAATAAGGTTAAGCCGAGTTTAACGTTACATGTCAAATCTTTTTAAAATAAGAAATTTGTCCAAGTTTCAAGAGGAACCTTTGTTAGTTTATATCTTGAGAGTGTGGCCTACGAGACTTATGTCGATTTACAAAAATGACTTCAGAGGTTTGAAATTTTAACCTTGTTTAGATCATGAATTTTTTTTTTTTAAAAAAAATTAACAAGTTACACGCTCATGGATCAAGTTGGAGTCAAAAGTTCAAAATCATCCAATTTCAACGTCCTTGGGTATAATTTAGAAGTGCTTAACAGTCCACACAGAGGAGAAAAGCTGATTGGGCTGGGTAAGAATATTTCAGTGGGCTTACGTCCAAAAGAGAGGAGAAATGGATTGGGCTTTGATGCTTTCAGGATCAGATAGTCAATCCTCATAAATGTGAAAATGTTTCATTATTTTTCTTAGTGGCTTTTTTTTTGTTGTTGTTGAAAAACTACGTAATTAGACATAACTACAATATATATTATAATTACTTATACTTTTAAAATATCACGTATCTTACTACTAATTAGGAGCTTTCTACGTATCCTACACTAAGATACATGCATTTTTGCTACCAGATACACAAAAGTAGGGAGAGAGGCGAGTGAGATTCGTATGTATCCCAGATGCATGTGAATCACACTAGATACATGTATCTGTATGTACATGGGAAGTGGTGAGCGAGATGGAAGAGAGGCGAGTGAGATTTGCTATGTATCCACTTGAATACAATATATCTGGAACAAATTACACCTAAATTTAATCTCATATATCCGAGATACATGTATCTGAACGTCTCTGAAGGCACCAAAATCTAGTAAGATACGTGATATTGCAAACTAGAGTATATCCAAATAATTAACTCTCAAACTAGTAAATTTACGTAAGTTCTTTCTTTATATATATAAATTAGACAAAACTGACTGACTTTTTAATTAGAAAATATAATTTAACGACTTTTTTTTATACACTAAAATAAAAGTGTAGAAATTTTCGTTACTAAAAATAATTTATTTTAATATAATAGAATCAACTCTGAAATAATTGACAATTGAAAAGTTTAGTAGCAGATAGGACAACCAATTTCTTTCCCTTATCTTTTAAGGTGGCTGGCAAAGTGAACGTCTCTCTTTCTCTAAAAAAGGGAAAAGGTGGGGTCTAATGCTTCAGGTTAGATTAGAAGTTGTCATGCATCTAATTAGTATCCTTTTCTATTTTTTGTAGTAATATTTAATTTGTAATATGTCCAATTTTATAACAAGTGATATTTCTTAATAGCCTGATCTGACTTTGATTTGGTATGAAATTTAAAGAATTAAGAAAATTTTAAATTTATAATCTAAAATTAAAGATATATCAAGTATATTAAAATATTTTTTAGGAGTTGTTTGGTGTGAGGTATAATGAATAACAGTCTCGAGATAAAATGCATAATTATTTTATTTTGTGCTTGGTTGGTCTATTGGAGTTATTAGATAGTCCTTGGATTATTTATCCGATATGATAAGTTATTCCATATGTCCAGAATAATTATCTTGGAACAATAATAATTATTCTTATGGTCTTAAACACGTCATGTGAAGTGATCATTTTTTTTAAACGGACTAAAAAGAAATAGATCAAACAAATCGAAATGAAAAGATCATTTTGTTATCTTTTTATTTAGGTTCAATATAAATAGGTGTCTTACCTAATTAAGAATATATATTGTAATCATCTTCTTCCAAATTTATCCCCATATATATAAGTGAAAATTCTTATGTAACCGAGAAATTATATGGAATATGTACGTTTTAATTTGTTTATTTTATTTTAATTTGACATAGAGCTTGAGAATAATATTTTTTTAATTTTATGATCATAAATTAAAGATATATCAAATATATCAAAATATGCTTTAATTTTGTGGTTTTAAATTTATCACGTGGAAAATTGAAATTATAAAATTATCAAAAAAGAAAAAAAAACATTCTTTTTGAAACATTTTTAAAAAAAAAGATAGAACATACAAGTTGAACTCGTCTCATACATTACCATAGATAACATGTCTTACTTTCTAGATCAGACATACATGTAGCTAAATTTTAGGGGGACCTAATGACTAATGGTATAAAATATTTCTTATAGACCTAATGACTATTCACTCATGTAGATTAGTTGCTAGTTAGATACTTATGTTTTGATTGATTGGTTGGTTGTTAATTTGTTAGGATACGATTAACTGGCAGTTTAGTGGATTGAATAATTTGTATTAATTACAAACCTTATAAAATGATGAGTGAAGATATTTTCAATACACAAATTTTATTTTTGCTTTGTTCTTTTATGATTTTCTCAATTTCAAACCCTCCATTGATGGAGGTTTTAGCTCATAACTCATTTTCTAGCATATATACTCCAGCTAGCTGTTAGCATCAATTAATTTTAGATTGATGATTAGCACGAAATCTGATTAATTTAATCAAACATAGAAAAACAACGGTGACAAATCAAATTACCATTTTTTTCTTTGTTTTTTTCCATATACTAAGAAAATAAGGTTAAGCCGAGTTTAACGTTACATGTCAAATGTTTTTTAAATAAGAAATTTGTACAAGTTTCAAGAGGAACCTTTGTTAGTTTATATCTTGAGCAGTGTGGCCTACGAGACTTATGTCGATTTACAAAAATGACTTCAGAGGTTTGAGATTTTAACCTTGTTTTAGATCATGGAAATATTTTTTTTAAAAAAAATTAACAAGTAACACGCTCATGAATCAAGTTGGAGTCAAAAGTTCAAAATCATCCAATTTCAACGTCCTTGGGTATAATTTAGAAGTGCTTTAACAGTCCACACAGAGGAGAAAAGCTGATTGGGCTGGGTAAGAATATTTCAGTGGGCTTACGTCCAAAAGAGAGGAGAAATGGATTGGGCTTTGATGCTTTCAGGATCAGATAGTCAATCCTCATAAATGTGAAAATGTTTCATTATTTTTCTTAGTGGCTTTTTTTTTTTTTTTTGTTGAAAAACTACATAATTAGACATACTTTACTACAATATATATTATAATTACTTATACTTTTAAAATATCACGTATCTTACCACTAATTTAGAGCTTTCTATGTATCCTACACTAAGATACATGCATTTTTGCTACCAGATACACAAAAATAGGGAGAGAGGCGAGTGAGATTCGTATGTATCCCAGATGCATGCGAATCACACTAGATACATGTATATGTATGTACATGGGAAGTGGAGAGAGAGATGGAAGAGAGGCGAACGAGATTTGCTATGTATTCCAGATATGCGAATCCACATGAATACAATATATCTGGAATAAATTACACCTAAATTTTATCTCATATATTCGAGATACATGTATTTGAACGTATCTGAAGGCACCAAATCTGGTAAGATGTGTAATATTGCAAACTAGAGTGTATCTAAGTAATTAGCTACACCTAAACTAGTGGATTTATCTAAGTAATTACTGAAATACACGTCTTATGTTTCTCTTATTTCTAATATTCCCTTTTATTTCTAAAAACCTCTAAAATCCCTTATTTCTCTCCTAATTCTAAATTATTTTATAATGTATCCGAGCTAGTTTTTAATGTATTTGAGCTAGTTTTTAGTGTATCCAAGCTAGTTTTTAATGTATCTGAGCTACATATTATGTATTTGAGCTACATATTATGTATCCGGTTTGTTTTACTTTTTCAGAGATTAATGTAATTACAAACTAAATAGGGATAGATTGTAATTTCATATTAAAACTGTGTGATTCCTAAAATTTATACTTTTTAATATGTAATATGTCCAATTTTATAACAAGTGATATTTCTTGAATGACCGACTTGGTATGAAATTTAAAGAATTAAGAAAAAATTTAAATTTTGTGATTTAAAATAAAAAAATATGTCAATATATTAAAATGTCTTTTAGGAGTTGTTTGGTGTGAGATATAATGAATAATAGTTTCGAGATAAAATGCATAATTATTTTATTTTGTGTTTGGTTGGACTGTTGGAGTTATTAGATAGTTCTTGAATTATTTATCCGAGATGATAAGTTATTCCATATATCCAGAATAATTATCTCGAAACAGTAATAATTATTCTTGTGGTCTTAAACACGTCATGTGAAGTGTTCATCTTTTTTAAACGGACTAAAAAAAAATAGATCAAACAAATCGAAATGGAAAGATCATTTTGTTATCTTTTTATTTAGGTTCAATATAAAAAGGTGTCTTACCTAATTAAGAATATATATTGTAATCATCTTCTTCCAAATTTATCCCCATATATATGAGTGAAAATGCTTATGTAACCAAGAAATTATATGGAATATGTACGTTTTAATTTGTTTATTTTATTTTAACTTGACATAGAGCTTGAGAATAATATTTTTTTAATTTTATGATCATAAATTAAAGATATGTTAAATATATCAAAATATGCTTTAATTTTGTGATTTTAAATTTATCACGTGGAAAATTGAAATTAAAAAATTATCAAAAAAAAAAAAGCATTCTTTTTGAAACAATTTTAAAAAAAAAGATAGAACAAACAAGTTGAACTCGATGGCTACCACAAAACTCTCATACATTACCATAGATAACATGTCTTACTTTCTATATCAGACATACATGTAGCTATATTTTAGGGGGACCTAATGGCTAATGGTATAAAATATTTCTTACATAATTAACTGCTTAAACATATATAACTTAAAAGTTCAAAAAAAGGACACACCCTGACAAGAAGATAGCACTAGCTAGCTTAATTTGTGATAATTAAGTAGGTTTAGTAACAGGGTATTTTTGAGCATTTTTGACAATCTTAGTAAGTGCTGCTTGACCTAAATCAAGTCCACAAACATCAGCTAGCTGAACCAAATAGAGTAAAACATCAGAAAGTTCTTCTTCCAAATGTTCCTTATCATCTGATGTCCAGTTAGGTAAACCCCTTGCAACTTCACCCTTCCACTGAAATATCTCTGATAGCTCTCCCACTTCTCCAACCTGTTCAACAAATTTTTTTAAAAAACAAATGACTAAGGTATACTGTTGATGGGTGTGCGAACAAAGTCACATACTGTTTATATTCTATTTGGTCTAAAACAGACAATATCTTATATGTTTGGCCTAAAACGAATAATATCATACCACATGTTACTAAAGAATATGCTTACATTGTTTTACTTCAACAAGTACATATATATGTACTATATTTTTCAATGTAGAGTGAGTTTTGTGGGTTCAAATAATGTTTTTTGCTCAAACTATATATACGTAAACTAAAGCAGATAAAGTCATATTATATTTACGCGGTCAATCAAACATAGTATTTAGACGATGACCATAAATATATATATATGTGAAAAATCACTAAAAATGTCAACAAACATACTTTCTCTGTTTCAATTTATTTGTCTAGTTTTAACTTAATACGAAATTTAACAAAATATAAAAAACTTTTGATTCTTTTGGTCTTAAACTAAAATACGTAGAACGTACCAAAATATCCTTTAATCTTGTAGTTTTAGGCATGTCACGTGAAAAGTTGAAATTAATGAATTACAAAAAAAGCAAAAAGACATTTTTTGAAACAGACTAAAAAGAAACCTGCAACAACAGATGTATATGTATATAGGCAAAATAATTTTTAAAAATTGTGTATTTATAATAAGATCACACTCGTTCTGAACGATGATAAATAAGGTGGCTTACCAAAGCTAGGAGAAGGTTTCTAGGACTGTGATACTGATCCCAACCTCTAACTCTAGAAAATTCAACAAGCCTCTCTCTAAGCTCCTGAAGAGAGACATCCTTCATCACTTTTCTACCATATTGATCATGAGAATTATTATTATTATTATTCTCCATTATATTTCTTCTCTCTTAATTAGTTATAAGTATCACTCTGGCTACTTACCTCACTATTTATAGACAAACATCTATTGGTAGTTTGGTATGTATGGTCCTTTAATTTTCTTCAAATTGGTGGTGGGGTTATAGAAGTCAGAAGATGGCAATTGAAGCTGAGTTTGCTGCCATCATATGTTAAAATTACTATTTAGTTAGTGGAGGGGCCTTCTTTCTATACAGTTTTCACGTGAACATGTTTCTATGTTCTTTCTATGACTTGATATCACTCACTCTCTATATGTATCTGTACAAGCGGATTCAAAATTTAAATTTTATGAGGTTTATATTATAGGATAATGTCTTCAATTAAATTATTATAAATTTAATATACATATTTAGTAAAAGAAATAATTAATAGATAATGATCAAACATATATTTGAACGTTTTCCTTTGTTGCATTTATGTGGCATTATTCAGATATCGAGAGTTGAATGGTTTAATTTTGAAATAAAATTTATATATTTGAAAACTAAGTAAAAAGTATTATAAGTCACAAGAATTGATAATTCAAGATATTTAAAAAATATATGAAAAAGTTGTGGTTAAAGAAAGACTTATTTAAATCTTGTGATTCGAAAGGTTTCACAAAAATTGAGATAATGAAAGTATTATCTTTTTTGCGACTTTCACACTCTAACTATTAGTTGTTCCATTTTCCTATTTGAATTATCACAATTTATATATTAAAATACATATAATTCAATTCAGATAAAAATGGAAAAAGAATTATAGTTGACTAACTAGGTTAAAGGTGTACTGTGAACGTGTGATACAATGATTCAGGTAAAGAAAAAGGAAATGGAAAAATCGCCACAAAATTTGGCCAATGATATTTTATCTATGTTATTTTACCTTTTAAAATATTTTTACCCTTTTAGTTTTAATACTTTTTAACTAAAAAATATAGAAATCATCAGTTTATTTTAAAATAAAAAAAATATTATAATTTTTTAAATTTTCTGGTCATTTATCACTTCCCAAAGGAAATTATCAAAAGTATAGAACTAAAATGATTGTTTTCTAGAAACTCACAACTCAAAGTGGGATTTAAACTTCTCTCCTTAACTAGCGCTTTAATTTTATATCTAAATAGAATGACAAAGTGACGGATCATGACATTACACCCTGCTCCGGCCTCATTTTTTTGCTGGGTATATAGGTTTTCCACTGGTATATTAATGGGACAATTCCTTTTTCCACGTCATACCTCTATCAAATCTCACCTATACTTGCTTTTTCTTTGTGTTAGCCAACTTGGATTTAATCTCCTTCAACCAAAGGTGGTGAATTTAATTTGGTAACTTTCTTGTTTTTTTTTGTATTGTTTTGATGTTACATGATATATTATCATCAGCTTTTTCTTTTTTTACTTTTTGATGATAGTGGAATCTAGTAGACAAACACATATGTCATAACTAACTCAAAGCAAGAACCCCATATGCCCTACTTGAATCGTAAATTTCGGATTATACGGCTTTGATACGGACAATATTAATTTTTTACTCAAAATAAATCCACATAAGGCTCGAGTTGAAAGATCGATTTAACTTATATATACCGTTATCAACGGTGCAAAATAAATTTTAGTTACAAGTCGTAGTTGATTTGATAGTAACTTTTTTTTTCTTTTGAAACATTTTGCTTTTTAAACTAGCTACACTAGATTGAGAATCTATCTTATGCTTCAAATTTGTTACGGCATTTGTTTCTTTTACTTAGGTTATCTACGTATCTTTACTGTATTTGTAGTCGGTACCTTTCCTTTCAACAATATTTTTCACCAAAACTTTTTACCTTTTTCATCTGTCGGGAACAACCTCTCTATCTTACACTAGGTAGGGGTAAGATGTGTGTATACTCATTCTCTCTAGAGACTAGACACCACTTGTGTGTTATAAACTAAATTGAGAATGATGTTGCAGAAACCAGGCTTATTGTTGTGCCAGCATGTTTATCTTTCTTCTATAACATATTTGTCTCCTATCTGTGGGTCAGAGGATCTTTATAGGATGAGATAAGATCTCAAGTTTAGCCTATAGGAGGTTAATTGTATTTTGTTTTTTTATACTGTACACATATGTAATGAAGTTACTACTTTTCAACAGAGCCATTATACTTTGAAAGAATGTGGAGCAGCTTTCAGATAATGATCTTGTTAAATAAATGCCTAAAACATACTTAAAAAATGAAGCAAATTGGTAATGATCATAGGTGACCTCTAGATTAATGGGGGTATACATGGTTATGTTTAGCCCAAAGACATTCTTAACATGGTAGGATACTGGTAGTTTTCATCCAACCTCGCAATGTTTTTCTTAAAAGGTCTCACACCATTAAGAGTTTCACTAAACGTTATCTGTAGTTTCTTTTTCTTAAGCAGATAGACAAGAATTTGTACTCTTCTATTAGCAGTGTTTATACATCAGAGAGTGACTTAAAATTTTGAGCCTTAACTTGAAATCAGTATGATGCTTGAGTGCATATCCACATTATTCCCACGGATGATGAAGCTAGCCTGATATGAAAATGAGTATTGTGGCGTTGACAATTGGTGGTGTGTTGATGTAGTGGAAGTATACTAAAATTTTCCATCAGATGTGGTCCAGAAGTTGAAATTTGGAGACACTCCTGTTTGTAGTTGCTATTGCACAGTCCCTGGTAGAGGAATCTTGTTTGAAATAGAGACTTTGAATTGCACCAGACAAATAATGTACCTGATAAGGGGAACAATCTTGCCACCTACTGTAGTGTAACTTTGTAGGTGGGTCAAATATTTGTGTGCTTCAATTTCATAGCAAAAATTGATATCCTTGAGAACATTTTGTGATCCAAACAAACAAAATTGACTTACATTTTCCTAGACTAACAAATGTGAAAAAAGAAAAACTGTTTTACAAGAAGAATCTGCTAGGTATGTTACACATCTTGTAAAGAAACTATTGACGTTTTTATCTCTGGGTTCCAAGAAAGTCTATCATAATAATGGAGAAGTGCTACGACTTGATCCAAAGCTACGGCTGGATCCCTTTTGGCTGCTAGGAATACTAATCAACATATCTAATACCTGCTTCATGTTAGGCCGGTCATGAGGCGTCTCAGCTGTGCACCTTATCCCAATCCTAAGCAACTCATACATTTCCTCTGCTCCCTCTACTAGGCCAGGTACCAATAGAGCAACTGGTATAATGGCTCTGGTGAACCCTTTCCTTCTGTCTCCCATGACCCTTGTCGCCCATTCAACTAGACATTCTTCACCCCCATCTATAGCATGTCTCCCAGTTGCTAGCTCCATTGCTAGCACCCCATAGCTGTAGACATCACCTTTTGTAGTGGCCTGCATTATCTGCCCATATTCTGGTGCAACATAACCAATAGTCCCTGCCACCATTGTGCTAACATGAGTATGTTCAGAAATCATGACCCTAGAAAGGCCAAAGTCGGTGACTTTTGCTCTTCCGTCCTTGTCAAGAAGCACGTTGCTAGCTTTGACATCTCTGTGGACAATGCAAGGATAGCAATCATGGTGCAAGTAGACTAAAGCACGTGCTACATCGATTGCTGCTTGAATTCTGCTCTTCCATGCAAACCTTGTTCTATCTGTAATGAAGTCCTCTAAGGTACCACCTTCCATGTACTCATAGACTAGAAGTTTCTCTGATCCATCAAGGCACCACCCATAAAGAGTTACAAGGTTGGGATGAGGCCAACCGGAGCCATTCCCACTGAGCCCCTCCATTTCAGCTCTGAACTCTCTTTCTCCTTCGATTCCCTCCCTCTGTAGCTTCTTCACTGCTACTTCCCTTCCATCAGGCAAGACTCCACGATAGACTATCCCAAATCCTCCCCTCCCGATAATTCTATCATTCGAGAAGTTCCATGTGGCCTTCAGTATATCAGAATGTGTGAAGCTTGTTCTGTCCAAACGGATAACCTTAACATCATCAGAACCCCGTGATGAGGATGCACACAACCGTGAGGAGGATGCATTAGTACTTGATGGAGAATCATGTCTGCCCTCTGTATCCTCCAGTAAGATTCCTGGGGAACCCCTTGGCACTTTGATAAGGAGGCAGACAAGGAGTGACATGACTCCACAGACTAGGAAAGCTAGTACCAGAACCACAATTACCAAAAGTGCACCCACCTTTTTGGGCTTTTTGTGATTGTCATTCTTGTTTCGTTCTGTGTTGTTGTTAGAGTTATGCATGAAGGATGGAAGACGCAACAACGGATTACCAAGAAATGATGACTTATCAAATGTAAGCAGTTGCCCGATTTCTGGTACAGCTCCATAGATGTATGGGTTGTAAGAGATGTTGAACTTGCTCAAATCATGCAAGTTACTAAAGCTAACTGGGAATGGACCAGAAAAATTGTTAAATGAAAGGTCAAGGTTTAGCAAGCACTTAAGATGGCCAATCTGCTTTGGGATTTCACCAGAAAATTTATTCTGTGAAACATTAAGGACTACTAGGTGCGCTTGTCCAATCTCTGAAGGGAGCCTTCCAGAAAATTCATTTGCACCCAAATGCATCATACTCATTTTCTTCATGTTGCCAATCTCAGGAGGGATCTCACCAGACAATTTGTTATCACTAAGTTGAATATAGCCCGGTACCTGATTCTTTCGGACATTACTACCAGGTTCACAGAGTGGCATTAAACCATCTCCCATAAACAACTTATCCCCCAGGATTCTACAACTCTTCCCTGTCAATAGAGGATATATAAAGCTAAATGGAGGGTAGTCAGCTGGTATCCACCTCCTCATGGCAAAACAATCCCCTGGGCTAGCAGTGAGCTTCTCCTTTCCCCTATTCAACAAAAAAGTAGGCATTGGATCTGCACCAATACTTGCTAATTGAGGAGGAATTGGACCAGTAAGTTGATTATTCGCGAGATTCAACCATAACAAGCTGCTGCAGTTCCCCAACTCTGATGGGATTTCACCACTCAATGAATTGTTTGCAAGCATCAACCACAGTAGTGGCCTTAGCTTCCCGAAACTTGGTGGTATTGAACCATTGATCCTATTAGAGGAAAGATCAACAGCCTGAAGTGCAGTAAGATCTCCATATTCTAAAGGTATATTGCCACTAAACT